TTAGAATAAAAAAAAAAAAAAAAAACCTGATTTTTTAATTTTCAAACTATAAACATGATTTTTGAATTGGTGTAAACTAAACACCTTATTTATGAATTTTTCCCTCCAATAAATTCAAAAATAATCATTATAAGAAGTTAAACAAGAATGCATTGAAGGGTTTGAATCTCAACTATAATAATTGTATCGTTGATTTTAAAATTTTCCCACAATATTCAATTGGCTTCAACTCTATAGCGTAACATGTCTCATTTTAGGAGCTCCTCGGCTTATATGTAGTGGGTCTTCAATCTTTAAAAATAAGTATTGGAATTTGTAAATCTGAGTTTTCATGTGAAGAATTTTGTCAATTTAGACGTTACCCACGAGAATTTGAATTGACTTGGAAATAAATGTTGAGAGATTTGACGTGAGTTATGTGAAATTTTATTTTTAGAAGTTAATAAACTATAGTAACACAATGTGAAAGGCTGGGGATTCAGCTGTAATTTACCCACAATATTAAGTACATTTTCCATAATTTAGCCCTTTTTTTGGTTACGCGCAAGCTGAGAATGTCATATTAAAAATGAGTTTAAGAAAAAAATTTGAAATAATGGTAGACAATCATGGGCTAAATTGATTTCACTTTACAATTTCATTTTTCCCCTTTATTTTGGGGATAATAATCCAAATGGTCACTAAACTTTGCAAAAGGTCTACAAATGGTCATTGAATTTTAGAAAGCAGTTCATTCATCACTAAACTTTGCATTTTGTAATTTCATTAGTCACTGAACTTAAATTCTATCAAAAATTTGACGAAAGCTACTAGCAGTGGGGAATTCGAAAACAGCAAACCGCAAAATATACGATTTAATATTGAATTGTAACATCCGTTAACCTGCTAGTGAAGATGAAATTGATGTTGACGGTTGAAGCAGAGAGTTTGTGAAAGAAGTTGCCGTTTCCTCCTCTCTCTTTTTTTTCCTTCCAAGAAGCAAGCATAGATTCAAAATCAACAATTGTGTGTATAGGTAGGAGGAAGTCCATATCACCCTTGAAGTTTGGATGAATAGTGGAGAATGAATATAGATAAAATGTGATAAAAAAGCTTCACAAATGAATAGTAAACGGTGTATTGTCTCTTTTAAGATAGTAGGGATTAAGAGTCTGTTTGATTTGTTTAAATTACATGGACAATGTCACATTTGATGAATTCAATTTTTACAATTTCATATCAATCTATCTCAAAATTCTTTACGCAATATTCAGTATTATACTCTCCAATTTCTTAACTTTAATTTTCAATTTAGACATTTGGCCGTGTTATTCATTTTCTTTTACTCT